TTTTTTGTTCTCTGCTTGGGAAAAAGATAAATAAACTTTTACATTTTCCCCCCGGGTGCTTAATTCACAATAACTGAGGGAGAAAGTAGGCAAATTATATTCCCGAGTTATGGTATACAAAACTCAACTTATCTCCCGCTCATAGAAACTTTGTTTCCTTTGTTGAGTAAAATTATTTTTCTTGAATAACATTTCGTTTGATTAGGTGAAAGGAAACTATTTTATCTTTTTCTTGAAAATTATTAAATCCTTTGAGGACAATTCCGCATTCTTGCCCGGCACTGACTTCCTTTTTTTCTACCTTGTTAATTTCTAAAGTTTTAATTTCTCCACTAAAAATTTTTTTTCCTTCTTTTCCCTGAAGCACATAAACTTGCTTGTTGCGGTTAATTTTGCCACTAACTACTTGACAACCGGCAATATTGCCTTTGGAAAAATGAAAAACTTTCTTGACCGTTGCAGTTCCTACTATTTCTTCCACTTCTTCTACCTCTCTTTGACTACTAATAATTTCGTCTAATTTATCACCAATCTCATATATAATTTTACTGCTAAAAAAAGAAATTTTGTCTTCTTTTAGAGTCTTAATTTCTCGTTGGGAAGGTTGGTAGCCGAAAATTAGCACGGTGCTGTTGGTAATTCTAGCTAAATCGAGAGCAAAACTATTTAAACTTCCCATGGCAACCTGAACGACGGAAAAGTTTAAGTTAGCAGTAGTTTTTTTTTTGATGAGTTCGGTCAAGGCTTCTAAACTATTTTGGCTGTCAGCTGCTAAGACTAAATTAACATTTTTTTTCTCACTAGAAGGAGAAGTTATTTTCTTCTTTTTCCCCCAATGCTCGACTAATTCTTTCTCTATTTCGACCACTGCTTTTTCATCGCTCAGCACTAAAAATCGGTCTCCTAATTCAGCCGGAGCATTTAGACCAATAACTTGAACGAGGTCGCTCGGATAGGCGACAGTGGTTTTCTGACCGTGAAGACCAAATATCATTTTGGCTTTTCCAAACTTTCCACTGAGGAAAATAATATCCCCTGCTTTTAATTCACCATTCTGAATCAATAACTCGCTGATTCGAGAGCCGGTTTGGGAATGCAGATAACTATCAATCACTACTCCATGAGTAGAGTTAGAATGTTCGGTCTTAAAGTCAACCGAAAAAAGCAGAATAACTTCCAGCAAGTTTTGGATGCTAGTTGTTTCCCGAGCACTACCCGAGACTCATTCGAAAGGAATTAAGCCGAGTGATTGACACTGACCTCTAATTCGGTTTAAATTATTTTCATGGTTAGTTTCAGTCAACTTCTTATGGTTAATAAAAACAATAACCGGTAATTCGTAAAGGAGAAGGTAATTAATAATCTCCTTAGTTTGTTCCATTACGCCATCCTTAGCATCAATTACTAACACTACTAAGTCAGTTAAGGAAATTCCTCGTTGCCGCATTTTAATGAAATCACTGTGTCCGGGGGTGTCTAAAAAAGTAATTTTTTGGTTCTGAAATTCTATTTGGGAAGCACTAACTTTTTGAGTTATTCCTCCGATTTCCTTTTTTTGAACTTGGGTCTGGCGAATAGTATCTAACAAAGTGGTTTTACCGTGATCGATATGACCCATAATGCTAACTACCGGAGGGCGAGCTACCAATTGTCCTTTCTGCCAATCTTTTTTTAAGTATTCTTGAATAATCTGGTTAAAATTTATTCCACTCTTCTTTTTTATTTCTATTTTAATGTTTTGACAATAATCAGTTAATAAATCCCAGGACAAGGGCTGATTATGACTAATGATTTGCCCTTTGGCTCAAAAAAAAGCGGTAATTTCGCCCACTGGTCGACCAATAATTTCTCCCAATTCCGCGACCGTCACATTCTCAATTAAATAAAGAATGTTGTTTTTTAATTCGTTAGTGGTTTTCGAAACATTTTGACGAACTATTTCTAAAAGTAAATTGTCTCGCTCATCAATGACTTTTTTATGCTCTTTTTTTTTCATATTAAGGGGATTTTAGCAGTATTCAATAAAAAGGTTCTTTTAGTAAATATTAAAAAATTATTTTTCAATATCTTCCACTATTTACACTCCAATATTTTTATAATTGCCAATTTCTTGCAGCACTTGACCTTTATTGGTTAAAATTTCATCTTTTTCATCTCCTTCTAAAACTCGGTCGTGAATTTTTATCCCTAGATAATCACTAATTTTTTTTAGGATTTTTTTATCGTATTGTCGGAGCAGAGCAATCATTTGTTGAGAAACTACCACTTCTCATTCTTTTTCTTCCTTGATAATCAACTTAATAATTTTCACTGGCGAAAGTAATTTAAAGAGTAATTTTTTTTTATCTTCCGTTCACTCTGCAAAGTCTATCCGTTCGTAAATCAAACGAGAAATGGATTTGGCTCTTTCGCCTCGTTCACCAATGCAAGTTCCGGCGGGGTCAATATTTAATCTCTTTTCATTTGCTCCTTTACTTCTTTCGACTAATACTTTACTTACTAGTCCGGGCAAGCGCAAAATATCATGAATGACCACCACTCCGCTTTTTATTTGCGGAATTTCTTGCTCTAAAATTTTATGGATAAACAAATCATTCGAGCGAGTTAAAATGATTTGGGGAGTATTCTTTGAGTGTTCTTCTCTTACTTCCTTGATGAGCAGATGAAAGCGTTGACCTAACCGAGGCTCTTCGCGTAAGGTTCATTCTGATTTTTCCCAATAACCAACTCCCCTGCCTAAGTCAACTAAATAATAGTTTTCTTCTTGTACCCCTTTAATACTACCTTTGATTATTTCACCTTGCCGTGGTTTAAATAATTTATACTGTCTGGCTCAACTAATTTCTTCGACATCTTTCCGTAAACGATTTTTAATCTCTTGGTTAAGGGAAAAGGAAAAATTTTTAATATCGATGGGAAGAAGCAAATTATTATTCTTTACTTGTCCCTCTTTTAATAATTTATTATCTTTAGTGATTTCTTTTCCAGGTTCGTTAATGGTTTCCACTATTTTATAAAGCCGATGAACTGATAATCCAGCCTCAAATTCAAAATGTAATTCAGCACCGACATTTTCTCCTTGGCAATAGGAAGCCCGAAAGGAGTCGATGATGATTTCTTTAATTTTGGCTTCCGAGACGCCTTCGCGTTCGGCTAATTGTTTGATAAACTGTTGAGTATTATTATTTTCGATCAAAATCTTAAAATGTTATATATAGTAATTTTATAGAAAAATGGAAAGTCTTGGTTATTACTTGAACATGATAAAGGTATGAGTAAAGGAGGGATGGAATTTTTTATTTAATGAAACTGAAAAAATTGAAGCTCATCATTTGCTTGCTTTTTTGTTAACCATTGCGGTAATTTATCTGCTCTCTTATATTATTGCTAAGATTTTTAAAACTATGGTAAAGTTAATTGTATTGGTAGCTTTATTTTGATTATTATATATGTTTTTATTTGATAGAACTAAGTATAATGAATTATTTAGAAAAAAAGGGAGCAGCGAGAGTAGTAATGGTGATAAGTAGGATTAAATAATATTTCTTTAATTAACTTAAATTTACTTGGTTGATATTATTTTTTAATTAAGGGTTGAAAATGGCTGCCACTGTTATAAATAATTCAACGTTCAGGATAATCGAGGGTAAGGGGTGTTCCTGTAAATAAGTCCTCGATATTTTTAGCTGAGATTACATCTTTTTGTGTGTAATTTCCTGCATTAGGCACCGCAGTAATTAAGGTAATATTTCTTTTTAAAATAGGAGCCATGTAAATAATATCATAATTTTCCAATCAGGCACCATTTTTAGCAAACCCATAACTACCATTTAATTTTTCTTTCAACTCATCAAGTTGTTGAGTTTCATTTCCTCCCGCAAATTTATCAGGATTAGCCATAAACTCTAAACAAAGTTTAACCCTTAAAGGTAATGCCAAAGAAGTATCGCGCTCTTTGCCGGTTAAGAGAACAGAAAAAGAATTTAAGAAACAATTTCCATCTCCGACCGCCGATAATTGAACATAATCCTTATATGGAAAAGCGTCATTATCGCTAGAAATTTTGTCCAGTCCAGGAATTTTACCACCGCTAGGTATTTTTTTTAAGTCCTCCATACTTGCTCCTTTTAAATCTAGACCTGCCAAAGGGTCGGTGTAATTTTGAGAATTAACTCATGCTTTTATGTCTTTTAAATTGGTTGGGTTAGTATCTAGATAGTTTTTAATTTCTCATAAAATCCTTTCTCATTTACCGGTGGGGGGGGTTGGAGTGTTTGGAGTGTTTGGAGTGTTTGGAGTGTTTGGAGTGTTTGGAGTGTTTGGAGTGTTTGGAGTGTTTGGA